TCTCTACACAGCCACCAAACCCTGGAGCACACAGCGCCGTTCCTCTACATTTTAATCTGTTTTCTGTTGCTTATAACAGAATACCTGAAACTGGGTTATTTATAAAGATAGGGAATTTATTTCTTCCAGTTATGGAGGCTGAGAAGTCCCAGGTTGAGGGGTTGCATTTGGTGAGAGCCTTCTTGCTGGTGGGGACCCTTTACAGTCCTGACGCTGGGTAGGGTATCCCAGGGCAAGGGGGCTGAGTATGCCAACGCACTAGCTCAGGTCTCTCTTCCACTCCTTAGAAAGCCACCAGTTCCCCTCCCATGATAAATGGATAGTACATTAATCCACTAACCTGTTAATTCATGAATGGATAGAGCCCTCCCAACCCAATCACCTCGTAGAGACCTCACCTCTAAATACTGCTACATTGGGGATTAAGTTTCAACATGAGTTTCAGAGGGGACATTCAAACCACAACACGCAGCAAAGCCCCCACCCCTATCACACACAACCCACAGGTCTGAAGGCCTCAGCCTTCGCCCCAGACTCCCCTGCGTGCCCCTGCCTATACTTGGAAGGGTGGTTTCTTGCTTGCCCAGCAATTCTAGACCAGCTCTGGCCTGGCTAAACCAGCAAACTTTTCTGTTACCTGGTGGCCTCATCACGCCTTCTCCAACTAGTTTTAAGCCATTTTCAAGTTTGTCCTTTCTTGGGACTTTCTCTCGCCTAGAGTGTTATATAGACTTTTCTTCTACCTTAGACAACTCTTTTATCACTGTTAACTCTTCATATTAAACTTTCCTTATGTAGCCTACTGTGTGCTTTCTATGACTGGACCCAGGCTATTCACCCCGTCAGTAAAGAAGAGACTATACATGTTTATTTCAGATTTCTGTTACAGATGAAATGAGAAGGACTTTGCAAAGCCCATAGCTCAAGGCTGTGTTCATCTGGGCTGTTCAGTTTCCTCTTGGCCTTAGCTACGTTTTTCTTTTCACAAAGAAGGAAAATTAATGTTAGTGAATGCCTTCTGGGCACAGGGCAACATTCCAGGCACTTGACAAGATGGTGCTGACATGGTTAGCCTTAGAAGAAGAGACAAAGGGTCAGAGAGGCTAAAGAGGTTATCCAGAGTCATGCATGCTATACTCAAGCTGGGCTACAAAGCCAACCACATTGCCAGTGTTCTGAGTCCACACACCACAAACCACGATGGGCTTCCTCCTAGAGCCCTAAACACCCCTTCGGTTCATGAGAACAATTTTCCTGCATAACAAAATCTCTTGTGTCTCCTCATTGACCCCATGATAAGAGCAGCTGAGCAGCAGGGGAATCATTGGCTGGCATTCTGTTGTAATGACCTAACTAAGTGATCTACTCCTAAAAGAAAGATCTGATTCATTTGAAAGGTATGAGTCTGTGGTTTCCCTTTCTCTGTGAGCTGGAAGCTGAATGAGACCCAAGGAGCCTGCTCTTGGAACTGATGCTATAACCATTGACAAATACGTGCTGGGCTGCTAAAGGCTTCACTTTGAAAAAACTCCCACTGGTTGAAATCAAATGTATGGAATTCCACATCAGCAGTAGACCAATGGTATGGTTTGTTGGTGGGCCATAACTTCTACAGGCCAGAAATCTTTGTTACGTTCCCTGAAGTTTTCCAGATGCTTAGAACAGTGCCCAGTACGTAGAAGATGTTCACTAAACGCCTGTCAACTGTATAAATGTACACAGTCAGGGATTCACCATATTTCTTTACATGTGGGGCTTTACTAGGGTATTTTAAAATATAATTTTAATTTAAAAGCAAGAAGGAGGGAACAATTTTTTTTTTTTGAGATAGCCTCACTCTGTCACCCTTGGTAGAGTGCTGTGGCATCACAGCTCACAGCAACCTCCAACTCTTGGGCTTAAGCGATTCTCTTGCCTTAACTTTCCAAGTACTGGGACTACAGGCGCCCACCACGACTGGCTTTTTCTGTTGCAGTTGTCATTGTTGTTTTAGCAGGCCCGGGCAGGTTCGAACCTGCCAGCCTTGGCTGGCACCATAACTACTGTGCTACAGGCGCAGAGCCTGAGGGAACAAATCTTAATTGGAACATGATTATTTTGTAAACTAAGGGATGACAGTACGATCTATTCCAGGGACCACACTTGTTCTAATCAAAGCTTACTTGTCCTGTATTTCATTTGTCTTCTTCCAGGTATCAGCCCATTAGTCTATTGATATGGTAGCAATCAATAATGGGTGGAGAAGAATAAAAGCATAGCATCTTTTAATTGAAGTCCTTTTTCCTAAGAACTCTTGTCCTGTGCCTGGCAGAGAATTCTACACATGGCAGCTCCCTCCTCCCCAAATGTCTGTTGGTACTGAGGACACTGTGATCATAGCAAGACCTGAAAATAAAGGACTGACACAGGAGATGGAAATTCAGGCAAGATGGAAAGGTCTGAAACAGGCCTATTGGTGTTCTAGGTTGAACAGCTCACCTATGCTTTCTTGCCTAATAATTCAGTATGTTGGTGCTATAGCACATCATAAAAAAATCTGAACCAAAAGAGATGGAAAAAATACTTTCTACATGTGTTATAGAAGTTGAGAGAGAAGAAGAAACTATATACTTGAAACTGTTTGACACTTAAAAAATCCCTGTTTTTTTTCCAGAAGTTATCTTTGTTTTCTCTTCTAATATAATGAGGAAGGAAAATGGACATAGAAAGAATATGTTCTTTTTCTTTTTAGAAACATTGGGATGTGAACCAGTAGTGCTTATGATTAAAAGTCACCTTTAGGGCTCCGCCTATGGCTCAAAGAAGTAGGGCACCAGCCCCATATACCAGAGGTGGCAGGTTTAAATGCAGCCCCGGCCAAAAACTATAAAGAAGAAAAAAAAAAGTCACCTCTAAAATAGGGTTGTTTCAAAGCCAGAAGGGGATGAAAGTCTAAAACCAGTGGTTCTCAACCTTCCTAATGCTGCGATGTATTTTCATTGTTACAAAGGGGTCACAACCCACAGGTTGAGAACCGCTGGTCTAAACCCTTTCAATTGTAGAGGTTTAATGGGTGAGATTGGATGGAATTGTCTTTGCTGGTACATGGTTATTTCATTTATTCATTCTCTCAATAAGTACTTCTGAAGCACCTGCTGTGTGCTAATTGCTGTAACAGGCCCTGAACACAACACGAACGGGAGCTCCCTGCAGACAAGCACTTGCCTTTCTTGTATCCTCGTTACCTACACCCTCCCTAGTACTTGGGAGACATTCGATAAATATTTGTTGGATCAATAAGCGGTCCTAGCCCTCATGGAGTTTATACTAAATTTCCTTTTGTTCAGTTAACATTTTTATGCCAACAAAATGACGAGGACTCAAGTAGCCTTGGCAGGGGGGCATGTGGACAGAAGTACAGTTACACTATTGTCCTTTTTCCTCTGGCATTGTGTACAGGAATTGATCACAAGGTAGTAAGGCAAATTCTCACGTGTGATTGATGGAAATCAGCCTCAGGATCTGGAAGCTGTATCAGGCACATGAACATTTCAGCTTAATTTTGCCATACAGTGGGAGAGAGACTTCATCTTCTTCCTTCTCTAAGACTAACCTTCTGTGCCCTGCACACTTGAATGGTGCTGCTCCAAGGCAGGAGTCCCAGGGGCAAAGAATGAGCTGTGGCCAAAAGTTAGCAGCAATTCTCTTCCTTTTCCTTGGCTAGACATAATTTTGTTTTGTTTTGAAATAATTGAAGAGCTGAAGGTTTTATGAGATAAGAATTTAGTCAAAGCATTACTGCTTCCTTCAACAATATGCTGTAACACAATATTCAGACAGCACCATAATAGGTTCTGTCCTTAGAATGGGAGATTGTTTTCACTTCCTTTCCACCCCTTCCTTCCTGTCTCCATTCCCCTTTTCCTTCTTCTCAGAAACTTATGCAGTCTCACATCCTCCACTTCTGATGGAGGTGGTCTGCCTGACATAGGGCATTTGATTTCAGGGAGTCGTTCCAGGATTTTTATAACCTTCTCTTGGGCAGAAATGATTGACAGGGCTGCTGGCCAATCATAATTCCATTACTCTATTCAAGGAAGGTTCAAAGGACAGGCCTCTCTGTTCCTCAGTATTATCATCTTTGTTGAGTATTGCTATTACTGAATACTGGATATTTTTCAAGAAAAGAGGTTTATAAGGCTCACGATTCTGGTGACTGGAAAGTTCAAGTTTGGGCATCTATACCTTGTGAGGCCTCAGGCTATTTTTGCAGATGTAGAAGGTAAAGGGGGGAGGCTGTTTGTGCAGAGATCACGTGTGGAGAGAGAAAACAAGTGAGGGGAGGTGCCAGGTTGCTTTTAACTAACAGCTCTCACTGGAATTAATAGAGTGAGAACTCATTGTACCCCAAGGGACAGTATTATTCTATTCATGAGGGATCTGCCCCCACGATCCAAACACCTCCCATCTGGCCCCATCTCCAGCACTGGGGATCAAATTTTGACATGAACCTGAGGGGACAAACATCCAAACCATGGCAATAACTAACCAGCAATATTTTATATTTTGGGGACAAAGGTCACTCATCACTACTTTGTGAGTACTATATATTTCATTTGGTACGATCATGTGAAATTTATCTTTTTAGAAAGATGCACACAGATTTTGTTGTGACATACTTGATCAAAATAGTTAATGTTCCCATTACTTCCATCTTTCTCTCTGAGAGAGAAAGAAAAAAACTGTTAGATAAGTAATGATGGTCAGGAGATTTTTTGCTTATAATGGTGAATTTGATGAAGGGTCTCCTGGAACACAGAGTTGTTTAAGTTTGTGGTTTTTCAGGAAGTCTCCCATGGCCAGAGGAGTTTGGGGATTCATGTTTAGATTTCAGTCATCCCTGCCACTCTTGTTTTCCATTATTGCAGTCACCAAGGATTAACACTCTTGGGACTGTAGTTATGTCCTATTGTGGGCTCTCCTCGGAACAATTCTATTAATACCACTTTTCATCTTCCTAGGTGCAAATTCAGGAAATGGTCAGGGAGAGAAGCCAGATGCCAGCTTTCTCAGAGCCTGCTGGGGAGGAGTTTCCATTCACTGGGACCACAGCAAATTCTTTCCCCAGCTTAGGAGGCATCCAGCAGGAAAACACATCACTGGACCACTCCCTGCAGGTCGAAGGCTGTGTCCAAGGCCCACAGCACAAAGAAAAACAAGACAGAGAAGGCAACACACCTGAAGATTTCTGGGAAGGCCTAAAACATGAGCTTAGCTACCCAGGACCCAGTGAGGAAACTATGTCCCCAGGTGCAATCTCAGGACATCCCCCCCAGGGAGCCAGCACTGACCTCAGGGAGCCTGCGGCTCCGTCTGTTGCTGCCCCTGAACCCATAGATGCTGACATCACTCTGGAAGATGAGCACGATGGGCCAAGGGGCAGAGAAGCAGTGTGTGTGACAGAGTGCCCTGAAGCCGATGGCCAAGGAACATGTGATGCCATGGAGTCTCCTGGGGGGGTGCCAACTGATAAATATTTACCTCAAGAAATTTGCTCCATGGACTTTGAGCTGGCAGGGGGGCATAGCGAAGTGTCTGATTTATGTTCTCCTGATGCCAAGACATTGGTCCTCTTTCAAACACAAGGTGCTGAGTGTCCACAGTCTCCATGTGGGGGCAGTGAGGATGGAAACTCAGCTGGGTCCCCTCTTTTTGTCAGCACTTTCACCTGGAACATTTCACGCCAAGCCAGTGACGGTGAAAGTCTAGCTGATGGGGAGAATTCCTGTTTCACATTGGCCTCCACGGTACAGGCTGGCCAGGAGAGGCCGAGCCCTGGCAACTCCACTGGGCCTGAGGAAATACAGCTCCTTTCTTCTGAGAGCAGCTCTTTCATGCCATCAAAAGACGGAGGTGACAGGAGCCCCAGTACCATTGCCACAGACACGACAGACATGCCAGCCAGCCATAGATCCACGGTGAAGTTCCCTCAGGAGACGCCAACATTAACCACTGATATTGAGTGTCTCCAAGTAACCAGGGAAACTGAGGACCCGTCAACTATCAGCATTGCCACCAACGTCCACCCAGCCAAATACCTTGCTGTTTCAATTGCAGAGAGCAAGCCTGCAGGGGGCGCTGAGGAGAGTGTACCTCAGACACCAGATGAAAAGATTCCCCAATCTCCTTCCAGCGTACAGTGGGGTCATATTTTAAGTGGTTCCACAACAAAATCTACAAAAGAGCTACTTTGCATGGTGCCCAGGGTGCCAGGAGTGTGTGGCCATGTTCCCTGGCCCCTGGAGGAAGAGGGATCCTGTGACATTCCCCCTCTGCAGGTGGATGACCTATTTGGAAGGAAGAGCCAGACTGTGGACAGAGCAGACAATAGGAGCCTTGATGAAAATTTCCCAGAAAGAGGTGAAATGGAGCAGCGGGCCCAGCAGGACGGTCTGCCCCCGTGGGGCTCCGTTTCTGCACCCGAGTCCCAAGGCAGCTGGCTCACAACATTTGCTGCTCATGAGGAAATAAACTTGATGCCCTCGGGCCACTCACCAGCAAGCTCTAGGGAAGAAATGGGGCAGAACTCAGGAGTGGGGACATGTGTCTCCAGGGTGGCTGATGTGACTGTGGGAGAAGACAGCCAGACTCTGAGCAAGGTTCCCCCTCCCCTCAATGTCCCACAGGAGGAGGCTGAAGCTGCTGGGCCAGGAGCCGGGGAAGCAGGCGACAAGCTGAAGGGGCTAACTCTAGAGGATTCTGGTTCAGATATCTGGCCACCAAGACAAATGACAAACTCTGAGGGTAAGGAGTTAGAATCTGGTCCCATAATTCCTGCGAGACCCTGGGCTGCACCCCACATCCTAGAGGCTAATGCCTCTGCGCCTGGGCTGGGCCCCTCTGAAATGGCAGCATCACCTCACAGTCCTCTGGAGGCTGACTCGGCCCTTGCTGATGGCGGAGAACCCCGTAAAGACCCAGCCATCAGAGCACACTGGACTAGTCTTTGTTCCCAGGATCTGAGCCAAACCAGACTCCAGGAGTCGTCCGTGGACCCTGTGGACGAACAGGAATTCTCTGTCTGTGCAGCCGATGCACCTTCAGGGGCCTCAGAGGAAAATGCTCACAGTGCCAGTCAAGACCAGAGGGAAAACCAAGTCACAGGGGCCCACCCCGCCTTCCTCGTGCAGTTGCTGACCTGCTCTCACCTCCTAGAGTCGTCTGTGGATCCCACTGATGAAGGCGGAGCGGCGGAGGGCACGAGGACTAACGAGCCACAGCCTTCCCAGTCTCCTCTGGGGGGCATCAGCGAGGGGAGTAAACCAAATGGCAGAAACTGGGGCCGGAGATTGGAAGTCCAACCTGTCGGGCGGTGTGTCCTCCATCCTGGTGAGGAAGGGGAGAGAATTCCAAGTGGATGCAGCTTAAGCCAAGTTCAAGAAGGCAGTGACAGGAGCTTAGCGGCTGCTGGACTAAGTAATAAGGACAAAGCAGAACTTATTCCCCCCGCTTCAGCTCTTTCTAGTTGTGCAGCAATGACTCATGCTTCTGTGGGGGTTAATACTCAGGACTCCACAGGCCAGGGTCTTGCGGTTCCTGAAAATGACTTAGATAAGCCCAGAAACCATCCACATGTACTTTCTGACTCAAAGGAAAGGGGACCTATCGAGAATGAGTGTGGGAAACACTTTACCTCTTCTACTGATCTGACCAAGTCTCCTCACACTTCACCTCCTGGAGGAAACATCATAAACTTTTCGATAAGCCATAGAATTGAGGACGCTAAAATGAAGGAGCCTCAGATTGGGGAAACCGAGCCCTCAGGCTCATCAGGCCCTCCTGCAGTGACTTTGGCACCCACTTCAAGAGAGTGGGAGTCAGACAAAGCTCATCCGTTACTGCAGGACCCACGTCCAAAGGCCACCCTGGGCTGTGTGAACAAGCCAAGGGGAGCCCAAACCAGCAAGTTCTCAGGGGCCCGACCGATAAGGACCGGGTCAGAGGAGGTCAGGAAGAAGCAGGAAACATCAGGAACTGGACATTTAGCCGAAGGAGTAAAGAAGAAAATCCTCTCTAGGGTGGCAGCCCTGAGGCTGCGACTAGAAGAGAAAGAAAATGTCAGAAAGAACTCGAGCTTCCTTAAAAAGATGCCTAAACTGGAAAGGTCCTCGTCACACACAGATGAGAAAAAAGACCCCAAAAAGCCATCTTGCAAAAGGGAAGGAAAAGGTGAGGCCCTGGTGCTTTCTGTGTTAAAGTTTGGGTTTGTAGACCATGTGTCAAAGAGTCCTATGCAATTAAGGTGAATGTCACCCATGTGGGGCCATGGCTGTGGCCAGGAGGCTTGGGCACTCTGCATAATAGTCACCTGGAGGGCCAGTGTTTCTGACTGGCCCTTCGATGTGTGACTTAAGAATTTTGCATTTCTGGGCTTGATGGGTGACACCTGTAATCCTAGCTACTGGGGAGGCTGACAGATTGCTTGAATCTAGAAATTTAAGGTTGCTGTGAGCTAGGCTGAGGCATGGTTCTAGCCTAGAAAACAGAGTCTGTCTCAAAAAAGAAAAATAAAATAAAATAATTTTCATTTCTAACAAGTTCCATGGCAGCCCAGGGGGAGAATGACACTTGAGCCACTGATAAAAACCACCAGTAGGTTTATGTGGTTGAGGGAGTGATTAAGGTGCCTCTCTGTTTCATTATAATTTTTACCAGAAAAAAAAGTATTAAAAAGAGATAAACAGAAACATTAATCAATGTAGCCAATTAGTATAATTAGAAAGACCACACACTAAATGGGATTGATGGAAATAAACATATCATTATAATTCGGGATTCTCTTCTTTAGTTGATTGTTCACTAAAAATGGCTTCATTGCACCTTGGTGTTTCTTCCAAATGTGAGTATAAAACTTCTTTACAGCTCACCCTGTCCATTTTTCTGATTCTACTATTCCAGGTTGTAGACCACTGTAACCTCAAAACCCCTTGTAGTTACTTCTACCCTACGTGGGGAACACTTTTCAGCCCCGAATTTCATTCCAGAGCCCAAGTTTTACCTCTTAATTCAGAGCTCTTCTTTCTTGTCCCATGTGCCCATGCAGAAGCCAGGAGAGAAAATACGGCATCAAGTGACGGTGGCCTGAGTGCGCTGGAGCAGAAAGCTGCCGCCCTGTGTGCTTGGAGGGGAGGAATCTGCGCCTCCCTTCACCTGAGTCCTCAGGTGTTTGTAATTAGCTCCTCCCTTAACCCAGTCCTTGAGGCTGGGGTTTGTAATTCCCAGCACACATCCAGAAAGGCCCTGTCACAGAAAGGATTAAAGACAAAATTACCTTCTGAAGAGTTCAGAGGTATCCAACCCAGTTATGAGTGTAAAGATTTTAGAACCTATTTAAGGAGAATGAAGCAATGTTTTAAAAAATCTAAAAAGTGGTTTCAGCCCAGAGGCTGATAGATTGCCCATTCTTGCCCATCTTGTGTGGGGATTTCTTTTTCAGGGAACGATAGACAATCCAAACACTCTATTTGGAATTCTTGCCCATAATTACTTAACTGATCTGTAAGGGAAAGGATTAGCCACTTCCAGGGAAAAGTTTGATTTCAGCCACAGCACAGCCCCTTCAAAGCACTAAAGGCTGCAAAGACAGAGAGTGTGGTGTTCTGGGAGGGGCTGGTGCCAGCAAAGTGGGTAGTGGTGAAGGCAGAGGGCCACATCTTATGAGGGCCCTGCAGGAGGCCACGGGGTAGACATGACCAAAGACTTTTCCAGGCCATGAATGACTATTACTAATGCCACCCAGGATGTCGAGAACATTCCAGAGGCAAAGGTTCAGAGCTGGGGGCATTTGTAGGCGGCTACACCTCTGTGGGAGGAAGCTGTGACGTGGTAAGACAGAGTATGTATTAAGAATTGTATTGTTTGGGTTCGAGTGTGGCCTCTGCTAGTAACTGCTAGCCTTGCACAAATGCATTAGTCTCTGGGTGCCTCAATTTCCTCACCTGTTAAATGAGGGTACTGACAATAGCATTCATCACAGGTATAGAAATGTATGACAATTTGAACAGTGCTTGGCCTAGCACAAACTCTCATGGTTATTCGTTACGTTTAAAAAAATTATTATTAAATTAAAAATGAGGCTATTTTTATGCCAACTGTTATGCTCATAAAATAAATCAAGAACTTAGTTCAGACCCAATGATCTGAGTTGATATCCACCCGTATTAGAAGAAAAAAAGGTGCTTGTGGGCTTGTGCACACCTGCACTCCAGGGCTGCCGTGAGCCCATCCAGCTGCATTTCTGGCTCTGTCTCACCCAGACAGGGATCCTTCCCAAAGCCCTAAGAATCTTTCTCTGAGCCAATTTCATGTTTCCTGAAGATCATTGTTCAGTTCTGCTCCCCATTTCATGTCCTTCCCTCCACCCCCAATTTCCCATGTTTAATACTTAGCAATAGGTTATGGCAGATGTAGAGACATTAGGTATCCCCACATTACCCATGAAGACCGCCACCGCATGGTGTTGGAAGGGCCCTCAAAGAAATGTCTCAAATGAGGAGGGGGGCTTGGTCCAGAATGGGCCAAGAGTTTGAGACTTTGCTCCTGGACACAGTCTCTGTCTGGCCAAGAGCCCATGGGCCAAATGAACTGAGATGGGTTTTGCCATCAGGAAGTACTTGGTTGTAGGGTGATGCCTATGGCTCAGTAAGTAGGGCGCCGGCCCCATATACTGAGGGTGGCGGGTTTGAACCTGGCCCCAGCCAAACTGCAAAATAAAAATAAAAATAGCTGGGCATTGTGGCGGGCGCCTGTAGTCCCAGCTATTTGAGTGGTTGAGGCAAGAAAATCACCTAAGCCCAGAAGTTGGAGATTGCTGTAAGCTGTGATGTCACAGCACTCTACCAAGGGCGATAAAGTAAGACTCTGTCTCAAAAAAAAAAAAAAAGTACTTGGTGTATTTTTTCCATCACATTTAACACATTCACTAATTTCATTATAGCGCAATTTGAGGTAATGGAGGTAACAAAGCCTCGGGATCTGTGACTTTTTGCTTGGCTGTGGATTATATAGTTTTGTAATCATATTCTCCTTTGTGTTACCAAAGCGATAGAGTTATGGCACTTAAATAGACTCACACCACATTTCCAGTAATCTCAGTCTATACAATGGCTGTGATCGCTGCTGGGGTCCACGATCTCGTCTTGTTCCAATGTCTATGCTGCCGCCCAGTGGCTGCCCTGGCTAATTACACATTTGCCTGTCAGGCCACGTTTTTCTCACTGATACAAATAAAAAGCGATTTTCAAAGGTCTTAGCCCAGTGGGTGGAAATGGTTTCCTTATTGCTTCTATTTCATTCTTTCTTGCTGATGAGAGTGATATCAGACTCCAGTTTACGAAGTTATCTTCTGCGAAAAGAACTGGGATCAAAGGGGAAAGATGAATGAATATTAGGCAGCAAATAACTTATTGTTGAGTTGTGTTTTCCATTTAGGGGGCTTAATCATAGTTACCTGGATAATTCAGACTTCATTCTACTCCTTAATCCCCAGCTCTGATTCTGACCTGGATCATCTGGTAATCATTTAAAAGCTTCTTTTATTTGGTTGAGGCCCTACAGACTAGGTATCTATGATTGTCTCACCCCTCACCCCTTTTTATAAAAATCTATTACATTCTGCCTCACTGTAAGTATTACAGACCTCACCCAAGGAATTTTAAATAACAGCGGTGAGAGTTTTCTATTAGATTAATTTGTTCTTTTTCCTTTGGGGGGTCATAAGAGATCAATTTATTTTCTTTTTGTAAGTTTTAATTTTTTTTAAATTTTTAAATTTGTTTTAATTTGACCTGTTTGTTTTCCTACTATCTGGAAAAGCCCTATCTCCCCTCAGAACTCAATTTTCTCATCCTATGTTGGGAATAAGGAATTTCTTTTTTTTTTTTTTTTTTTGCAGTTTCTGGCCGGGGCTGGGTTTGAACCTGCCACCTCCGGCATATAGGGCCAGCACCCTACTCCTTTGAGCCACAGGCGCCACCTGGGAATAAAAATTATTATTCCTGACTTTCGGGATTGCTGTGAGAATTAAATGAGATGAAACACAAAAGCTTTTGCCTGTACTGACCTTCAAACCTCTTGTTTCTAGCTCCAGTATTACTGAAAAAAATCCAAGCCGAGATGTTCCCTGACCACTCTGGAAATATAAAATTAAGCTGCCAGTTTGCAGAAATTCATGAAGATTCTACTATCTTGTGGACAAAGGATTCAAAGTCAATAGCCCAAGTCCAGAGAAGGTGTGATTTCTGTCCCAGTCACTTTTCACAGGTGTTGCTTATTTATTCACCACATAGTTGTAAGAGAATATAATAAATTATAGGAAGTGAAAAGGAAAATTGAAGTAGAGATTCCACATCCACAATATCCGAGAAGAACAAGTAATGCCAGCCGGATGCCTGGACAGGGAGAATGATGAAGGATTCTTATCCTGGCTCTGCCACCATTGAGCTCTGTGGTCTTAGGAAGTCACAGAACTTTGCATTAGGTTTTTAAAGTCAGGGGAACATGTCAAATCATATTCTAGTGTGAGGTTCGGTGGTCCTGAGATTAATAAGCACTCTGTGTGTCTGTGAGATTTGCTTCTGTTTGTTTTCTGCTTCATAAATTCCTATTGATCTGACAAAGGTCAAACAAAGCTAAGAAGGTCAATCAAATGGAAAATAAAAATAGTTCATGAGGTTACAGAAAAGTAACAGCTATCAAGGGTGACAGACATCCATCTCCAAGATGGGAAAACCAGTTTATGTTGGGGTCCCTAGAGTATTAGGTGAATGAGGAGAGAGATGAGGGTGAGATGCTTTCCCAAGAACACCCCATGTAAGATCAACCATTAATGGTAACTTAAATCCCTTCTTAGCAATAAATGCTTACTCAAGTGAACTGATGAACTCAAGCTTCATTCACACAATCTAGAAACAAATCACCTGGTTTGATGGCAACAGTCTTTACCCTTAAAAGCTGCTTTCTGCAGGGTGCTGGGCTCATGCTGTCATCTTAGGGCTCTGAGAAGCTAAGGCAGGAGGATCACTTGAGCTTAGACCTATCTGAGCAAGAGCAAGATACTGTCTGTATTAAAAAAAATAAAAAAACTAGCTGGGCTACTTGGCTGGCACCTATAGTCCCAGCTACTTAGGAGGCTGAGGCTGGAGGAACACTTAAGCCCCAAAAGTTTGAGGTCGCAGTGAGCTAGGATGAGGCTCTTGCAGTCTTATTTGGGCAACAGAATGAGACTCAAAAACAAAAAGAAGTTCATTTCTTCCAAAAGAGGTCCCACTTCAGCTCCCGGAGTCATAGATGTTCCTAGTCCCTTAATTTTATCGTAAGTAGATTGAAAAAGTGAGAAAATCTGAGAGTTTTCTGGTTAATTAATTAAATATGTCTGGTTGGAACATAACTGGTATGTCCAGAAATAATTTCCCAAGAGCAGCTATGGAATACTGAAGTTTCTATTAACGTCACTGCAGAGAATGACTGGAGTGAGATTGATGTAATAACCACTTTGCATAAAATGCCACCATTACCCTGACAGTCTAGGTATGGCTTAAGAAGAATCATAATGGAAAAGAAATGATTAGATTTTTCAATCAGGGAGGTTCCCTACAGCTTTATAAAACAGTACTAGTTTGTCATTTGAAATTATTTTCTGAAGCTGTAGAACAAGTAACCAGCATTTTCAGAATTTTTGAATGAATCTTGCTGTGAGCTCAGAATTGGCACTTGAATCTTGCAGGCCCCCTCCGCACTTGTGGTGTGTTTACACAAATGTAAACCTTATCTGGGGAGTATAAGTCATTAGTAAGCATTCTGTTTACTAATGATGTGTGCCTAAGGCCTTTAAATTCCTGGTGATGTTCGCTTCATTTCTTCTTGGCAACAGTCTCTGGCTTAGTTGAAATCGCTCGTTTTCTCCACTCTAACTCCTTTGTTTTCTGAGCGATCATTTGCATTATTTCAGATGGGATTCCAAATGTTAGCTAATTTTTTTCACCCCTGCTCCCCATAGAGAGTTTCCTTTCACACATCTTTCTATGAGCTATCTCGCTGTCTTGTCAAGGTATAATTTTCAAAGAGTTAAAATCTCTCAAATAATAATATGGAACGTACCGCAAAGGGCTTCTTGAACTTAGTAAATAATGAGGGAACTAATAATATGATAAAACTCTTCAGAGGCACATTCGAGGAGTGAAGTTTATATGGCCAATCAGACAAAAGAATGCAGAAATAAATTTTCAAGTAGAAAACCGGTTAATGTTCAGCAGGTTGTAAACCTTGAGGGTTATCTTTTCTAATCCTCATAACGTGTAACTACAGGTTAACATGTACCTTGAACGTGTCCAAGTGGGGCCTATTTGAATAAGAGCAAAGCGCTGCTCTGTAACTCAATAACCCCTGAGTGGGAGCAGTGAGGTGCACATCTCCTTGTCTTTGTTCCCAACTTTGAGTACTTTCCTAAACAGGCTAAAGTTTGGAAATTAGGTGTCAGAACACTCTCTGGTGGCGAGGGCAAGATTTATATACTCTGGTGGTGCCCATAGCTCAGTGGGTAGGGTGCTGGCCACATACACCAAGGTTGGTGGGTTCAAACCAGGCCTGGGCCAGCTAAAACAACAATGACAACTGCAACAACAAAAAAAAAATAGCCAGGCGCTGTGGCAGGTGCCTGCAGTCCCAGCTACTGGGGAGGCTGAGGCAAGACAATAGCTTAAGCCCAAGAGTTTGAGGTTGCTGTGAGTTGTGACGCCACAGCACTCTACTGAGGGTGACATAGTAAGACTCTGTCTCAAAACAAAACAAACAAACAAAAAACAATGATCCTCCCCTATGGTTGAAGAAATTATTTCAATGGCTGATGAGGACAGGGAGGCAATAGCTTTTTTCTCCTTAAGCGTATTAGAGAAAAGATGTAACTTTAGAATGATGTTAATGTCTCCCATTGCAGTGCAGGGGACAATTCCACGGTTTCCTTTGCCATCATTCAAGCCAGTCAGAAAGACCAGGGCCTCTATTACTGCTGCATCAACAACAGTTACGGGAAAGTGACTGCTGAATTCAATCTCACAGCTGAAGGTAAACTGCAGCTTTACAATTTCAAATGGAAACCACTGGCCCTACCAGTTCCCAGTGGATATTTATACTGAAACCATTCTCTTTTTATCTTCTTCTTCTAGTTCTCAAACAGCTTTCAAGTTACCAGGATATTAAAGGTAAGTCAATTTGTGTTGAGCTGTTGGAGGACATGGGCTTACCACAAAGCATAAAATAGGTCCCAGGACAAAGGGTAGAAATGCCCACGGGCTCTTCCAGTCAAGTAGGAGAGTGCTGTGGAGAAATGAACGAATGACAGTTGATGAGCTTTTATTATTATAGAATTCCTATTATAATTTTGTTAGGCTACCAATATCCGGCAGGGTGTCATTTATGGAAGAGATTAGTCTGTAGCCGTGTGGTTTGGGGGAAAGTGTGGAGGCAGAGTTTGGAGGTGACATCTTCTTGTAAACATCAGACTTGCATTAGTCCTTCTGTGCAGGGGTTTCCAGCCTCTGACTCTTCTATGGCCGATTTTGTCTCTTTGACTTCTTTTTCGGTCTGACTAGCTGAGCAGATTCCCAAAGAGAGCCAGGGGTCTGAAGAATGACTCTGTTTACTTGTGTCCTGATGCAAATGAATTATTCCAACCTTCTGGGGCTCCCTGATGTGCACAATTTTCCAGTTTCTGTGGTGTACATACTCAGTGTGGCCAGTTTTAAACTATCAACTGCTGTGATCAGTTCTTAGGAGCCGGAGCACACTGGCCCCGTACTCTGCCATGGTCCTGCCTCACATTCCCGGTTACCACAATTTTTAGATCAGACTAGTGCCTCTGTCAGTTTTAGGGAGACAGTGGATAAGACTCTGACAATTAAATTGAGTTAGTGTCTTAACAATTTTCCACATGTGCTGATTTTTAAAACAATATACCTGAAATCTCTGCAAAAACAAGCCACGGAAGTTATTAAGATACACCAACATCCAGTGTATTATAAGCAAGAAACTGAGAACTCGACTTATAAATGATCTAGCAAATATTGTGATATTTATCCAAAATAATGGACGTAAATATAAGCTTTTTATACTATGTAAACCCACTCAAATGCTAACTCTGTCTTTAGTATGTAGTATACTTGTGTTATCATTTAAAATCTTCCTTCCCTATTTCTGCTCCCATCTCCCCCAAAGTCAAAATAAGCTAAAGAATCCTTTTCCTTTATATCCTTCATAAAATAAAATGACTCAGAGGGGATTCTCTGTTTCATCAACTTTCTAGAATTGACTGGCATTCACATCTCGGATACTCACTGTAACTCTATTTATATGAGTTTGCATGAACTTACTTTAATCAAGGGTTTTACCCATCAAGAGTGAGACCCTAGTGGGGGTAAGCTCCTGGCTACCTGGTTGAAATGGTGCCACTGCAGTAGCCCAGTGACTCCAACCACAAAGTCTGGGTCTGAAACCTGATGACATCACTTCCTCCCATCTTCCAAGCCCACTGTGGTTGAGGCCTCCAATTTCATTGACTTGCCCACCTGCGGGGGCCAAACCCAGCTTCTCCCTCCCCTGGTGCCTTCAGATGAAGATGCTTAAAATTACTTTTAATCACTTTTTATTCGGAGGAATCTTTCTCTAAACATTTTATTAATTTGATTCTCTATAGGAGGAACAAAAACCATTTACAAGTTGGTCTCTAATTAAAACATTAATAAAAGTAAGCTCCTGGGAAGCCTAGGGATGAGTGATGGACCCAATGAAACACAAGCTAGCCCGACTTAATAATGTTATTACATTTTATGAATATGTTTGTGGATTGTTTTTCTTTGCCTGGAGCCAGTCTTTGGCATCTGTGATGGCGGGCGTGCACACAGTTTCTCTGTGCTGGTTAGGATTCGGACTTTGCAACCTATGGGGATAGCATAGACCTTTCATGAGGTTTTTTGATCTACCATCAAACAAACACTCATTTGCACAAGTCTGTTTAATGGATTCTGATGAGACTTTCCAGGTTCTTTTGCGTGGAACCACCCCTCACAGGGAGTGTAGGCAGCTTGCAGCATTGGGTCTGAGCAATGGATGAGTCTGCAAAGCTTCCAGGAAAATTTCACAGCCTTGGATTTCAACTGCCACACTCCTGTCTTTCCCAACCCTACCCTCGGGTGCTCAGTGTCCTGTTACCTGGAATCACTCTTACCGGAGAAGAAATTAGTCAGAAGGATTGATTCTTCCTGCCATCTCTCACTTTAGAAGAGGCCCACGCTCTAATTAAGGTGACTCACACCTTTCAGGCATTGCTACAGAAGACATTTTTGGACAGCAGATTCTTTTAGATGTCGGCAAAGTTTATACCTGCTTCCTCCACAAAGGGAGGCCTGATGGACAAGTTTCACCTGGGAGCTTTCCACCTGCAACCCCAGCTCTTTCTCCTCATGACTGTCTAGAGCAGTGGTTCTCAACCTTCCTAAGGCCGTGGCCCTTTAATACCCAGTTCCTCTGGGTGGTGACCCACAGGTTGAGAACCACTGGTCTAGAGACAATGAACAGTCCTAAGATCGGTTATTCTTTATTTCATGGTTTTATCTTTATTGAGTAAACATTTCTGCTGGAAATGATACAGAATTATTCATTATACCACACGCATTACAGTACTGCACACAAACATTCCTTCCTTTATGGGGGGTCAGCCTTTGTCTTTAGTTAATTAAATTTGATAAATTGTAAAGCACAAATGTATATATGCTGTCCTTGTAATAATTCAATTGTAGAAATTTTGCCATTTTGAAGGAAAACAGGATGTGGCCTATGTAGTTTATATTTATTGGGCTCTGGCGTATGGATGTAAAACATTTCCTATATTCTTTCAGGGATAAAGGGCAATTGTTAGTTAATTATGTAACTAGAACTGAGAAAGTTTAGGTTATATAAAAAGCATTCCCTCCCCATGTTTTCATCTAAATATCACTTTAACTATTAAGAAGATGCAACTCTACTTTTCTCCATAAATTTAATCTTTCTGCTGGTTCTGTGCCTTAGAATCAAATCTGTGACACAACTATGGCCTAAACATTTATCTGAGAAAATCTTCTATTTGCCTGTCTGCTTTCCCGCAGCTCCACTCCAGTGCCCTCTAGAAACCCAGGGCAAGCTACCCAGGAGGAGTTGTAGGGGAGGAGAAATTATTTTGTCTTTAACCCTCATAAATTCTTAGCTGGAATGGATCCCGGTAACAAAGGAAGATTAACAAGAGAAAAACAGAAGTTTATTATTATGTAACATGAGGGACATGCAGGGAGTAATTCTCCAAAAAGCGGCTTTGAATCCCAGCTTCAGGAGCATCTTCGACAAAGAATAATAATGTTCAGAGACGTGTAGACAGAGGGAAAGGCTTTGAGTCTCTTGGTGTGGCAACTTGTGGGAGGGCAAATGAATGGCAGGTTAAAGCTAGCTGGTCAGGCTTGTTCACTTAGATTCCTCTGATACCTTCTTTTGACCCCAAAGGTCTAACATTGTCTTCAGTGGGTAAACTTTGTTCTCCCTGGTAGAAGGGGGCGGTGGGGTGGGGTGGGGA